CCTTTGTAAGCTGAGGATGACCTTGAACTTGATTCTCCTACTTCTACCTCCTGAGTGTTGGGATTATACCAAACCGGGTCTATGTGGTCGTGGGTTTCACGTATGACAGGCAGACTCTTAGCCAGCTGAGCTGGATCCCCAGCCCTACTTCTTAATTTTGACAAGAGGTCTCTCTGTGTTACCGGGCTTGTCTCTTACCTGTGGGCTCAGATCACCTGCCGCCTTTGCCAGCCTTCTAAGTATAACTTCTTCCACTACTGCTTGGAGCCCCCTCTCACCAGATAAGAGCAATGTTTTGTGTAAATAAAGAGGCAAAAGGATTTCTGGGGGAAAAAAAAAAATAAAACCAAAAGACAAAGACGCTGTGAAAGTCAGGGAAGGACAGGTGTTCCTGAGGGGCTGCAGCACATTCAGGGAGAGGTGTGGGGGTGGGGGGCGCCGGAGGGGAGGACTGTGAGCTACAGGCTGGAGAGAAGGAGCTGTCAATACCTCAAGAACACAGAGAGCCACCTGAGCCCTGCAGAGGCCTAGATGGGACCTCTCAGCTCTGTCGGTCTCCCAGAGCAGTGGTATAGGGAACAGATGCGTGGGACATACTGAAAGGGAAGAAACAATGTTGGGGCCCCCTCCCCCTCCCCTCCCCCCACCCGCTGCCATTCATGGAGTTCCTTTAATTCAGTCACTGAAAGTAAGGAATGGGCTGGGGGCTACAGAAGGGAATCAAAAATTGTCCTGCTTCTCGAGAACTCCATCTGGTGGCTGTCCTGGATACATGGACAGCTGCTGAACAATCCTCGCTTTACTCCTTTATTTGTTAATTTTTTATCTGTATTTTATGTATGAGTGCTCTGCATGTATACCTGCACGCCAGAAGAAGGCATCAGATCCTATTACAGATGGTTGTGAGCCACCATGTGGTTGCTGGGAACCGAACTCAGGACCTCTGGAAGAGCAGCCGGTGCTCTTAACCCGTGTCATCTCTCCAGCCCATTACTCATTTATTTTTGAGATAGGGTCTTACTATGTAGACCTGGCAGGTCTGGGACTCAGATCCGCCTGCGTCAGCCTCCTGAACGCTGGGATTAAAGGCGCCTGCCACATGCTTGCTGGACGATACTTTATTTTAGGAGCTTTACGGTATAGCTGGAGACTGTATAGAGAAGAGGATTCCCATCCCACCCCCAGTATTGAGGGGAACCTGGGGCCTTACCCATGCTAAGCAAGCACTCTACTATTGATCCACATCCCCAACCCTTTTCTCATTTTAAATTTTGAGACACGGTCTCTCACTAAGTTGCCCAGGCAGGCCTTGAACTCATGGTCCTCTAGCAATTGGTGTTACAAGCTTTAAGCCCCAACTCCTGGAGGGGACTTTCAATCTGTGTTGGTAGATGAGTTGGGGTTGACTGAGGAGATGTACTGGAAACACCAGAAAGGGGGGGTTCTGGGGCCTTGCTTTCTAGGTCTGAACCCACTGAAGCAGCTGGCAAACATGGTCATTGAACGCTAGAAGCTGCCCCAGCCACTGGAGCGATGCAAGATGGCCGACGATCTCCACCTTCACAGAGAACTCGGTATTGAGTTCTTCCCCTGCGGCCTCAATGTGCTAGTACATACAGTTGTTGAGAAGTAGCCATGAAGAGTTCTAGGCTCTCCCAGGTACCAAAATCTACAGAGGCTCATCTCTTATGTCAAATAGCACAATGTCTACATATAAGCTATATACCTTCCCAGACACTCTTTTTCTTTTTTTGACAAAGCCTCATGTAGCCCAGGCTGGCCCTGAACTATGTAGCCGAGGATGGCCTTGAGCTTCTGATCCTCCTGCTTCTGCCCCCCAAGTGCTGGGATTACAGGTGTGTACCACCACACCAAGTTTCTGGGGATGGAACCTAGGGCATGCTAGGAAAGCACTGGGTAAACTGAGCTATACGCCCAGCCCTTCCCACACACTTTAGATTATCTTCCAGTAATTTACAAGATTTGGAAAAGATGGGCAAATCATTATTATACTCTATATAATGATAAATTGGTTTTCCTAGAATATTTTCTTAGCCAAAATGGTTGAATCGACAGATTAAGAACCTGCAGACACAGAGGGGCCAAGTGTGTATGAAGGTAGCCACGTAGGCCGAGTGGGGTGGGGCACACCTTTAATTCCAGAACTCTGGAGGTGGAGGCAGGTGGATCTCTGTGAGTCCGAGGCCAGCCTGGGGTAGAAGATTTCCAGGCCAGCGGGGCTACATGATGAGACCCTGTCTCAAAACAAAACAACAACAGCGACGTGGCAGGCAGGAAAAGCTCACTCATGGTTCTGTTGTTGTTATGTCCCTGCAATCCCAGCACTTGGGAGATGGAGGCAGGAGAATCAGGAATCCAAGGCCAACCTCAGCTACATAGTGAGTTTGAACCCAGCCTGGGGTAGAAGAGGCTTTGTCTCAAAAACCAAAACCAGGCCAGGAGAGTGGCTCAGGGGTTAAGAGCACTGGATGCTCTTCCGGAGGACTTGGGTTCGATCCCCAGCACCCATGTGGCAGCTCACAACTGTCAGTAACTCCAATTCCAAGGGCTCCTACTCCCTTTTTGGGCCTCTGAAGACACCAGGCACACATGTGGTACACAGATATATAAGCAGGCAAAACATCTATTGTAACACAAAATCTAAAGGTCCTATAATAAAAAACCCAGAGCCAGATATTGGGGTAAATGCTTCAAGATCCAGAGAGACAAAGGAACAAGCCACTGCCACGTCTCACCTCTCCAACTCCACAAATCCTCTGACTGAATGTCTGTGAGTCCTCAGCTGAAAGGGGTCCAGCCAAAAAGCTTTAGTTCCTGTCTCCTCATGCCTTATATACCTTTCTCTGCCCAGCCATATTACTTCCTTCCCGGTACTGGGATTAAAGGTGTGTGCCACCACTGCCTGGCTCTGTTTGTCTCCTAGACTAAATCAATCTCATGTAGTCCAAGGTGGCTTTGAACTCACAGACAGATCTCTGCCTCCCGAGTACTAGGATTAAAAGTATATGCCACCACTGCCTGGCCTCTATGTTTAATCTAGTGACTTGTTCTGTTCCCTGATCTTCAGACAGATTTTATTAGGGTACACAATATATCACCATAACCTATACTCATAAAATAAAAATAAATCTTAAAGCCTCGCAGTGGTGGCCCATGCTTTTAATCCCAGCACTTGGGAGGCAGAGGCAGGCGGATCTCAGTGAGTTTGAGGCCCGCCTGGTTGACAAACCAAGTTCCAGGACAGCCAAGACTGTTACACAGAGAAACCCTGTCTCAAAAAACCAACCAAATAAATAAATAAATAAATAAAAATTTTTTTAAAGTAATAATGTATAGTAAACATGTCTTTGACTTCCTAAGAATCATGTCTGAGTTAACAGGCTATGAACTCATGGGATGATCAAACTTATTCAATGAATTGCCAAATGCTACACACACCATGTTTATCTGCATTTACTATCTTTGGCACTATTTAGACATTATTATTTATCTTCATTTTATAGTCAGGCAGGCAGAAGCATCAAAATGGATCTGGCGAGATAGCTCAGCAGATAAAGGAACTTGTTGCCAAGCCTGAAGACCAGAAGCCATATGAAAAAATGAGAGAAAAGACAGTCCCAAGTTGCCCTTTGACCTCCACCTACATGCCAGGGCACATGTATGATCCATACACAAACACGAATAAATAAATCAGTGCTTTGTTTTTTAAAAGAGTAAACAATTAAGCCGGGTGCTGGTGGTGCACACCTTTAATCCCAGCATTTGGGAGGCAGAGGTGGGCGGATCTCCGAGTTTGAAGCCAGCCTGGTCTACTGTGTGAGTTTCAGGACAGCCAGGGTTACACTGAGAAACCCTGTCTGGAAAAACAAAACAAAGAAAGAAAGATAGTAAACAATTGACTCAGTACACTGAGGTGGTGAGAGAAGAACCCAGATTTGCTTTCTCAAGCCTGACTTCAAGGGCCTAGAACAATCACATGCCCCACGCTGGTGTTCAAGTCAGGAGACAGCAAGAGCAGCCTGCTGGAAGCCTCTGCCACCTCAAGAGACTTTGCCCGCCCCCCGCCCCCCAGCAGCTGTGTGACCTCGGAGGTTATCATTCAGGTCAGACTGTCTGGGGAAGTGAGAAAGTGTCACCCTCCGCCTTTCAGGAAACAACCCTGGGACTAACTAATGCCCTTAATTAAGGGAGAAGGGTGGCTTGATGGCTGGCCTGTGTCCTGAAGAGGCTGCAAAGACTTGGGTCCTCTTCCCGAGGAGGAGCGAGAGAATGCTGGAGATGGACAAGCTTTGTCAGACAGTCCAGGGAGAAACCCCAGATCCCCAGGCAGCTGGGGGCCAATACACACAAGAAATGAGCTCTGTCTGCAGCCCCGGTCACATGAGGGCAAGGCTTGGGAAGCCTAAAAAAAACCTTTTACTACAAGACACATGTGCACAACTGTATTAGTCAGGGGTCTCGAGAGTCACAGAACTTATGGAATGAATCTATCTATCTATCTATCTATCTATCTATCTATCTATCTATCTATCATCTATCCATATTTGGGAATATATTTATACGGAAATTTATTGCAATGATTTTTAGCAATAGCTATGGTGAATGAGAAGTCCAAGAATCTAGCAGCTGCTCAGTCCCACGAGGCTGGAATGGATGCACTAGCAAGGCAACAAGGTGAGTGCAAGCAGGTGAAGGAAGAACCCTTCCTTCCTCCATTGTCCTTACATAGGCTTCCAACAGAAGGTGTGGCCTAAACTAAAGGTGTGCCTTCCAGCCTCAAGATCTGGATCAAAGGCATGTTGTCTTCTGGCCTCAAGATCCAGATCACAAAGTGTGCCCTCCATTCCTGGATTATAGTTCATTCCAGATATAATCAAGTTGACAACCAAGAACAGTCATCACACAACTGTTTTTTTTTTTTTTTTTTTTTTTTGACACAGGGTCTCATTTAGTTTAGTTACTACGTAGCTAAAGCTAACTTTGAGCTGCAGATTTTCCTGACTCCATCTCCTGGGATTATCAGTATTGCCTGTGTTTTCTTTTTTTCCCCCCTTTAATTTATTTATTTTTTTAAAATATGGCTGGGGGTGGTAGTGCACAAACTTAGGAGGCAGAGGCAGGTGGATCTCTGTGAGTCTGAGGACAACCTGGTCTGTGTAGTGAGTTCCAGGACAGCCAGGACTACACAGAGAAACCCTCTCTCGAAAAACGAGAGAGAGAGAGAGAGAGAGAGAGAGAGAGAGAGAGAGAGAGAGAGAGAGAGAGAGAGGAAGGGAGGGGGATTTATAAACAACTTTTAAAACATTTCCTTACATATTTATGTGCTAGAGGACAACCTTCAGGTGTCAATCTCCCTTCACTGTATGAGTTACAGGAATCGAACTCAGGTCACCCGGTTAGGCAGCAAGTGCTTGTTCCCACTGAGCCATCTCGCCAGCTCTTTCTTCTCCTTCTCCTCCTTTTCTCACCTCTTTTATGGGAAAGCACCAAGAATTAAAGCATGGATGCGGGGTGACGGGCAGACCTGCCTCTCCTGCTGGCTGTTCCTCGGGTATCTTGGGGCCAGCATATCACCTTCTCCTGGGGAACTTCCACTTCGCCGTACAGTCCTGTCTTGGACATGGGGCAGATAATGAAATCCAAGGAAACTTAGCCGAATGCCCAATGCACACGATTCTCAATAATTAGCCATTGCTGTTATCATTAACTTCAACTCGATTGTTTGTTTGTTTATTTCAAGACAAGGTTTCTCTGCAGCCTTGGCTGTCCTGGAACTCTCTCTTGTAGACCAGGCTGGCCTCTAACTCACAGAAATCCGCCTTCCTCTCCCTCCCGAGTGCTGGGAGTAAAGGCATAGGCCACCACCACCCGGAACTTAACATTCTTATATTTCCTATGTGCCACATAGTGCAAGAGACACAGGATGCCAAGAGCTTAAGAGAAACTTCTAACTTAGCACCGAAGGTAGAAAAACCATAAAATTAGGGGCTGGAGAGATGGCTCAGCCATTAAGAGCACTGACTGCTCTTCCAGAGGACCCGGGTTCAATTCCCAGCAACCACATGGCAGCTCACAACTGTCTGTAACTCCAGTTTCAGGAGACCCGACAAGCTCACACACGCAGGCAAAACGCCAATGCACATAAAATGAAAATAAATTAATTAAAAAGAAAAAGAAAAACCATAAAATCATCTTCTTGACTCTTGGTACATAAATTTACCCTTAGCCACCTGAATCCTAGTAGTCCAGACTCCAGCGGTCACGGGTTCTAGAATTCTCATTTCTTCAGCACCCCTCTGCATTGCCTTACTTGGTTCTCATATTTTTGTTAGTCAGGATCTCACTATGTAGCCTTGCTGGCCTGGCATTCCAGCTGGAACTCACTGAGAGAACTTGCTATGTAGATCAGACTGGCCTCGAACTCACTGAGATCCTCCTACCTCAGAGATATTCCTGCCTCTACCTCTCAGAGTGTTGGGATTAAAAGCACCTCCCCCCATGCCTAGCAATCTGTCATTGTTTAATTTCTATCTGCTAGGATCCAGGTGCTGTCCACCTCTGGGGAGGGGTCTGCTGCAAAGGGCAGGAGCTCCTAACTCCCACCAAGTAACATTGATCAGGAACACCGATACCCATCCCGATGTATAATCCTTTCAACAGGGTTCAGAGCCTTTCAAGCACTTAGTTTTAAGTGCTTAGGAGATCTCTCCAGCTGTTTTATTTGGGACACAGCCTACAAACTGTAACCTGGCCCACCCAGGTTTCCAAAAAGCCTTCAGATAAGAACCACTGGGGAGATTGTTGAATATGCAGATCACCACACCCTCTCTCCCAATTCTAATTCTGAAGTCTAGAGGGAAGTGTGGAGCCCAGGATTTAACAAACAGCCCAGGAGACTGGCATCCGAGGGCAAGTCCAGACATGGTGCTCAGCACTATGGGTCTGCAGCTGGGACTAGAGGGGAAGCTCAGTTCCTATGGGTCCACCTAGCAGGCATGAAGTCATAGGTTCAATCCCACTACCAGGACACCTGCAATGTAAGCTGAGTACTTAGGAGGTGGAGGCAAGAGGATCAAATTTTAAGGTCATCCTCAGCTACAAAACGAGTTCAAGGCTAGCCTGGGCTACAAGAAACCCTGTTGGGGGAAAAGAAAAATGCTTGGGCCAAGCTATGATATTGAGTGGGAGGTCAGGATAAACCAGCTGGTGTGCAGGTCACCAGGACCTGTGGTAGCCTGCAACCTGAGGCTCCTTCTAGCTCCTACAAGATCATGCAGGTCACCAGGACCTGTGGTAGCCTGCAACCTGAGGCTCCTTCCAGCTCCTACAAGATCATGCAGGTCTGCAGGCCCCAGGGAGCCTCCGTTCCCTTTAACATCTGCTCACATCTCAGGCTGTGCAAAGTACCCAGCACATAGTAGGTGTTCAGTAAATGTTAGCCAGCTGCTAATGTGCTAGTTGTAGGCTTGAAAAGGACGGGGTGGGGGTGGGGAGCAGCTAAAGAGAAAGCCAGCAATAGTCGAGGAAAACAGGGGGCGGACTTCGGGACAGGAATTTACATTTCTTTAAAAGGTAATTCCAATCCTGCCTTGCCTTTTGAGAACACAAAGCCTAGGATCTTTCCAATCCCAAAATTCTCTTCTTAAGGACTCCATCCCTATGAAACAATCATTTGTACAGTGTGAAAAAAATGTTCATCCTCTTAACATAAATAACACCCCTTATGAATGTGACATTTTTATTATACTGAGTACCACACAAACAAATACGACTGATTTGAGAGTTCCTTGATTGAGAAAATAAAAGTCGTTTAATTCCGTCTGGGCAGACAAGGTCAGCATCAGGCCTCAGGGAGATGGAGCAGTCGTCTTGAGAGTAACTAAGGGCCCTGCCACTCTTGGCAGGAGATGCAGCCAGCAGGCCCCAGTTTTTCCCCCACTTTTGGAAAACTCTGGTAGCAAGCAGGGAAGGGCCTGTCACCACCCAAAACACCTGGGTGAGCTCTAGCTGGGCCTCCCTCTGCTCCCCAGGAGGGCGCTTTGGTATTTGAAGCTGACATTCGTCACCAAGGCGCTTCCTCTAGATCTCACCTTCGTTCTCCCAAATTCCCCATACCCAGTACCTGCCAAGGAAGGCTGCACCCCAAGCAGGTCTGGTGCTACCCAAGAACAGAGGATCGCCCCCTCCACCCCAGCACTCCCTACGTGATTTTGGATGAGCTGAAAAAGAGAGGATCACCAGGGGTCCAGGAGAGGAAGAGTAAGGAAGCCATTGTTGTGGTTCTGGGCTTGAAACCGGGGCTCCAACACACCTCCAGCTCAGCGGAGCACCATTCACAACAGGTTAACAGCCTGCTGGCTCAGCAGTAAGACTTTCTGAGGTAGAGGTGGCAAGGTGCGGGGGCAGCCCAGACTCAGTCTCTGTATCCAAGCCCCCCACCCCAATTTATCAGTCACATCTCATCACATCACACCTTCCCCCGGCAGGGGCTCCCCTGCCCTGCCCCGCCAGGGGAGTTCTAGGTTCTTAAAGGCCTCTCAGGAGGGAGGAAGGGAGGGGGCGGGGCGGCGGTGGCTGAGATATAAGGGACCCAGGCGCGGTTTGCGGGTCCATCTAGCCCACCATGAGTGCCCACTGCCTCCCTATCCTTCTTCTCCATGCCTGGTGGGCTCTACTCCAGCCGCGCGCCGCGACGGTGGCCGCCTTTCCTCTGTGGACACGGGGTCAGCCCTCGTCACCATCCTCTCTCGCATACATGCTGAGCCTCTACCGAGACCCGCTGCCTCGGGCGGACATCATCCGCAGCCTCCAGGCGCAAGGTAGGCTGCAAGCCTGGCCTCACCAGCACCCAAGGGCGCATGGCCCGGGAGGCGCGCGGTGGCTGCGGCGGGGACTGGGTACCAAGGGGTCATCCAGAGTCTGGTCTTTTTTTTTTTTTTTTTTTTTTTTTCTCGAGACAGGGTTTCTCTGTGTAGTTTTGATGCCTGTCCTGGATCTCCTCGCTCTGTAGACCAGGCTGGCCTCAAACTCACAGAGATCTGCCTGGCTCTGCCTCCCCAGTGCTGGGATTAAAGGCGTGCGCCACCACCGCCCGGCCAGAGTCTGGTCTTAACGATGTTTCCGAGTAGGCAGGCTCAGGGGACAGCGCTGGTGGCCGGGTTGAAGAGGAACCCAGCGCCCCGGGACCACCGCCTTTCGGGTTCTAGCTTAGGTGGCAGAGTGAGGGGGTAGGGCGAGGTCCCGATCGCGCCACTGAGCATCTGGGAGCCTCAGTTTGCCCATCTGTAATTTAGAAATCGTAGGACCTCCTTCATAGACTTATGGAGAGGACTAGGTGACATCACCGCCCCCAGAAACGCTCTGCACGAACCAGACATACACTAAAACAGGCCGTTACTGAGTTTTGTCCCGGCTGCCGCAAATGCCACCAGGAACTAGGGCTCAAGGATCCGCAATTAGGGATCGGGTGCCGGAAGTCCAGAACTCAGGTAGCTCTCGTTGCTGGGCGGTGTCAGGTGTCCTGGGTGACCCCGGGCTCAAAAACCTGTGTGGATGGAGGTGTGCGTGTGTGTAGTTCGCCCAGTGACCTGAGTGTCGCTCACCAGAGTAGACCGACAGGTGGGTGCCCAGGAGAGGGAGTCCAGATTCGGAACTCCTTTCCCGGGCGCAATCCACATCCCGCCGCCTAGGCAGCTTGGCCAGCCCGGGCCTCTGTCCTGCGGGGCCAGACGGCCCTCCGCGGGACCCGGACGCAATCCACATCTGCTAATCCGGTCTGACCCGTCGCCCGCCGGCCCTCGCGACCTGGAGGCGGAGCCCCTAGTCCTTGCCTGCGGCGTCTGGGGTGAGACTGCCGGTGACCCTTTCCTGAAGGGTCATCTAAGGACGAGGGACCAGGGCACCCTGAAGGGCGAGGCAATGGGAAATTGGTGGAGTGCTCCGCCCCTCCGCCTAGGGTGGGACGGAGGCAAAGCGGGAAAAACACACCTTTCCAGTTCACTTCCCTTTTAGAAAGTTCTTGAAGGTTTATGTAAGTGATCTGGGATTCAGGAAAACTACTCGGGTTCATCCAATTCTGTTTTCGCACTTTTTTCGAACTTTTTGTTCGCTTTTGGAAAGTCTAAAGCATTTTAACTATTAGCCAGTGGTATCAACTGCCTCCATTTCAGCGAAAGGCTCTGCCTGGAGGGACTCTAGGGGAGAGCGGCATTCCAGGTCACTTCTTCCCTCATGAGTCAGTATGTAACCTGCCCCGTCATAGCGGTATTGGGGTCTGTCAGCTGGAATCTAAGGGCTTGTCTGTACCTCACTTGTGCGGTTTATGCATGTGCAAAAATGGCAGTACCAGTGGGGGTGGGAAGACAGTTCTTGTAAAGCCTTGGCATACGGGAAGCAGAAAATGGCAAGGAGTTCTGATAGCCCCTTGCCTCCCTGGCTGAGGACTGGGACAAGCAAATGGCCTGAGTTGCAACTTTTCCCTTCAGAATCGGAGGTGGCTAACCGGACTAACGATTCTCGCCAGATCCGCATTCAGCACACAAGTGGGTTTCAGGGTGGCCGAGAGCCCCTGCCTCATGACCGCCCCATTCACACTGACAGCATCGGTTGTGTAATGAGTTCGAGCTACATCTGGAGGACCCTCTCCCCCAGGGAACCCTAGGGGTGGCTTAGGAGGAAGGCGTTTCTTCCTGCCCTGCCCGCACACTGGGCATCACAGTTACTAGCGACTTCGTCTCCATGCACTTCATTCCTAAATCTTCTATGGCACACAACATCACGTCTTTCTACTAAGAAGGCAACAGGGGCCCAGAGAAGGAAAACCACCTGCCCAAAGTCAAAGTGGAACCATGAGGGGAACTCTTCAAGTCATGGCGGCCTCAGGCTGCTGCTCTTAGCAGGAGCACCTGCTCTGAGAGATCATTCGCAGACACTTAAGATCAAAGTTTCGGATCACACCCAGGCTGCTACTACAGGAAGCAGGAGTGACTAGAGGCCCCCACCTAGCTCCCAGGGTCAGTGCTGGCTGGGGAAGAAGAGTCTCCTGATGTTGCTAATGAGGAGGGAAAGTGGAAATTAAATAAAAAAGGCAGCTAGAGATGGGTGGGGAGAAGCCCGCCAGAGGCAGAAGCTGGAAATTTCCTTGGGCAACTCACCTCACCTAAATCCCATTGTTCTCTGACTGCCCAGGGTGTGTTGAAGCTAGCTGGCTAGAACAGGGATTTCAAGCTTACTCCCTTCCTTCCTTTCGTCCCTCCTCCTCCTCCTTTTCCCTGGCCACCCCCGCCCCCACCTGCACCCCACAGTCTCAAGCCCAGGATGGCCCTGAACGCTCAATGAAGTTGAGGATGACCTTGAACTTTTGATTCTCCAATTGTACTCCGGAGGGCAGAGATTGCGGGTTAGCGGCACCACACCCAGTTTACCAGGGCTGGGGATCAAATCCGGGTCTTTGTACTTTCTAGGCAAGTGCTCAAGCAACTGAGCTACATCCCCAGCCCTTTGGTTACTTTTCAAGATAGAATCTTACACAAGCCCTTGTACCTACCTCCAAGGCCTCCATTTTCCTTCATCTCTAAAATGGACTATCTCTGAGTGCACACACACACACATACACGCACACACACACACACACACATACATACATATATGGCAGCTTAACTTGTAGTCCTAGCACTTGAGAGACTGAGACAGAGGATGGCCCAGAGTTCCAGGCCAGTCTAGGATAAATATCAGGTTCCAAGACTGACTGCCTGAGTTAGTATGAAACTCCATCTCAGAAAAAAACAAAATAAATAAAACCGATTCCATGGTTTTGCAAGCCGACAGGGGTGGGTGAGGGCCAGAGATGGGTGACAGACAGCCTACCCAGCTTGTGGTTGACAGAACTCCCTCTTACCCCGTTTCCTTCCCTGACTTCTCCCCCAGATGTGGAAGTGAGTGGGCAGAACTGGACCTTCGCTTTTGACTTCTCTTTTCTGAGCCAAGAAGAGGATCTGGCATGGGCGGAGCTCCGGTTGCAAGTGCCGGGCCCTGTGGACCTCCCCACCGAGGGCCCACTCACCATTGAAATTTTCCACCAGGCAAAGCTGGACCCAGAGCAGGACCCAAGCGACTGCCTGGAGCGAGTTCGGATGGAGCGGTTCACGATCACCCGGTCTCAGGTGACTTTTTCCTCAGATAGCACTGTCCTGGAGGTGACCAGGCCACTCTCCAAGTGGCTAAAGGACCCCAGGGCACTGGAGAAGCAGATATCCAGTCTGAAAGGAAAGTGCTGGCGTCAGCCCCACATCCCACCCGTCTCTGTCACCAGCGCCAACGTGCTCATGCTCTACTCCAACCGGCCTCAGGAGCAGAGGCAGCTGGGTGGCGCCACTTTGCTCTGGGAAGCTGAAAGTTCCTGGCGGGCCCAGGAGGGACAGCTGTCTGAAGAGAGGGGCCGATGGGCCAGAAGGCACCGGAGACATCACTTGCCAGACAGAAGTCAGCTGTGTAGGAGGGTCAAGTTCCAGGTGGACTTCAACCTGATTGGCTGGGGTTCCTGGATCATCTACCCCAAACAGTACAACGCCTATCGCTGTGAGGGCGAGTGTCCTAACCCTGTGGGGGAGGAGTTTCACCCTACCAACCACGCCTACATCCAGGTACGATGCCCGATGCCCGGAATGGAACAGGTTGCTAGACAGGGGATGGGGCTCAAGGTCTGCCATGAGACAACTGGGTGTGGTCACTAAAGCACCTCCAAACGTTTGCTCCTGTGAGGATGCAGAGATGGCTTGGGGTTACCCCCCCCCACACACACACACATGCACGAACCAAGCTAACCTCAAACTCATTACATGGCCCAGGATGGCCTCGAACTCCTGATCCCCTAGCCTTGACTCCCCTAGTGCTGGGAGTACAGGTATACACCACCACGCCCAGTTATTACAATATGGGGGATCAAACCCAGGACCTCGTGCATGCTAGGCAAACACTCTACCAACTAAGCTGCGTCCTCAGCTTTTCCTTGTTCCTATAATTAGGTGATGGGAATAGAAGGATCTCTGCTCCTTCAGCTCTGACATTCTGGGGAAGGACGTTCAAAATTGGACTTTGGGACTAAACGAGCCTTCCTACTCCTGCTCATTGCTTGTGTGACAATAAGCTGCTGCTTCTCCAAAGCCTGTCTGTTTCAAGGCCAGCAGCATATTTCACAGGCATGGAGTGGGGGTTCATGAGTTGGTTGCACACGCAGCATTCTATTATTTATGAAAAGAATTTTCTAGTTTGGTACCAGATGCTGATTTTTCACTTTAGTCAGAAATACTAAGTCTGCCTTTGCCCCAGTGGTCCGAACTGACTGACCCTCCTTCCTGTCTTCCAGAGCCTGCTGAAACGCTACCAGCCCCACCGGGTCCCTTCCACATGCTGTGCCCCTGTGAAGACCAAGCCACTGAGCATGCTCTATGTGGACAATGGTAGGGTGCTCCTGGAGCACCACAAGGACATGATTGTGGAGGAGTGTGGGTGCCTCTGACAGAGCCAGGGGAGTGCTGAATCAGCTTGCCCTCCACAATGCTGAACTCCGGGGAGACCCCATAGTGTCTATCGGGGAGCAGAAATGGAAGGGCTCTGCCAGCCAGAGCGGAAGAGGAAGGCCTGCCCCCTGTGCATACGGGGCTCTGAGACCTGCCAGGCCAGAGGCTACTGCAGGGAGGCAGGAATGGGGGCTGGCTGGGCTCCCTGGAAATAGGGGTTATGAACTGAGCGAGTGCTTTTTAAACTTTGAAGCCCTTGAAATGGTGTGCAAAGGCTGGGGTATATATATGTATTTATTTTTGAGGCCATCTGTAGCTTTCCTGTATTCTTAAAAGCGGTCTGTGACCCACTGTCCCTCCCTAAAGATCAGTATAATTTTATTAGATTAAAACTAGCCATTTGAGCCGGGCGGTGGTGGCGCACGCCTTTAATCCCAGCACTCGGGAGGCAGAGCCAGGCGGATCTCTGTGAGTTCGAGGCCAGCCTGGGCTACCAAGTGAGTTCCAGGAGAGGCACAAAGCTACACAGAGAAACCCTGTCTCGAAAAACCAAAAAAAAAAAAAAAAAAAAAAAAAAACAAAAAAAAAAAAACTAGCCATTTGGCTCTCCCTGCTTCAAGCTGGGCTGGGGAACCCCACAACTTTCTGGCTGGGGCTAATGTAGTGGCCTTCCTCAGCGGCTCCCTGATCTCTGCTAATGAATTGCCTAAACAATAAAGCCACTGTCCAGCTCTCCCAGGGCCAGCGGGTGCCTTTGACCAGAGAGGTGGGCACTTGTCCAAGAGGGCCTGGCCAAGGTGGACTATATAGAAGCCAGAGCCATCAGATGTCTGCTTGGCAGACATAACCCAAGTCTATTAAAAGTCAGTAACAATTCACTTCAGGCTTTCAAGGTGTGTTTTGGGGTCCTGAGGTTCCAATCCAGCAGGGGATGGGGGTTGTGGTCATAGCTTTCGCAGGGAGGCTGTGTGATGTGGGAGAACATTCACTGCCTGGCCTCTTCTTGTGAAAAGAAGCGGCGGAGCCGGATTCATTTGTAGGAAGTACTCCTGAGGGCTAGGGAGTGATTGTGATTCAGTGGCAGCTACTTGCTTAGTATATGAAAGACTCAGGGCTAAACCCCCGCATAACAAAGCTGGGCCTGGTGGAGCACACCTTTATAGTGCAAAGGCAAGAAGAGCTCTGTGAACTCAAAGCCAGCCTGGTCTACAGGTGAGCTCCAGGACAGTCAGACTCCACAGGGAGCCCCTGTCTCAAAAACAATTAAAGCCAGCATGAAAGGGAGGACCATGGGTCTCCAACTAGACTGTCCTCTGGGCCTTCTCCCTTCTCTGCGCCTTTAAGCCTTAAAGTATAAGACTTGCTAAGCACTTGGGGGGGGGGGCGGCGCTAACTCCTGATTCTGCATAGCACAAGGAAGCTCAGCTTTCTCTCTTTTCTTTCCTTTTTTTTTTTTTTTTTAAAGATTCATTAATTTATTATGTATACAGTATTCTGTCTGCATGTGTCCCTGCAGGCCAGAAGAGGGCACCAGATCTCATTACAGATGGTTCTGAGCCACCATGTGGTTGCTAGGAATTGAACTCAGGAGCTCTGGAAGAGCAGTCCGTGCTCTTAACCACTGAGCCATCTCTCCAGCCCCCTTCCTTTCTTATGTATACAACATTCTGCCTCCAAGTAGTATGCCTGCATGCCACAAGAGGGCACCAGATCTCATAGATGGTGTGAGCCACCATGTGGTTGCTGGGAATTGAACTCAGGACCTCTGAAAGAGCAGTCGGTGCTCTTAACCTCTGAGCCCTCTCTCCAGCTCCTGAAGCTCAGCTATCTAAAGAAAGTTCTATCACAACCCCCGGCCCCAAACAAAAACAAACAAACAAAACCTTCAATCCCAGCCCTGGGGAGGCAGACACAGGCGAATCTCTGAGTTCCAGACCAGCCTGGTCTACAAAGTGAGTTCCAGGATAGCCAGGGCTATTACACAGAAAAATCCAGTCGGGGGTGAGGGAATGCGTGTGGGAGTGGGGAGTAAATTCCACCACTAAAATATCTGAGCAGCTGCTTGTTCTTTTGGCTGGGGGATGGGGCTTTGGGGGACACACAAGTCCACAGGAGCTCTCCCCTCCCCCTTGCTCCCCGGGATGCCCATCCACTTTGCTCCAGCTTTGGCTCAATCAAGGCAGTTAGACTGGTCCAAGCAGGGACTGGGTTGGCGACAACCTAGCCTGGGCTCGACAAAGCTGAAGGCCCAGGACTCAGCAGCAGAGATGGGTCTAAGCAAGCTCCAAGCTGAGCAGTTCAGTCACCAGGGTTCTGCGCTGGGGTTTGAGTCGGGATCTTGCTTTTTAGCCCCGACAGGCCTCAAACTCAAGGCAATCCTCCTGCTTCAGATTCTCAAATGTTAGGATCACTCACCTCTACCACCATGCCAAGCCAAATTTTACTTTCGAAAACAGCCTTATGAGGTCCACTTGTCCCAACTGCTTTCCTAAGTGTTACCCCAGAAAGGCCACACGGACGTCACAGCAGTGCTGAGAGATTGAGGGCACCTGGATGGCACCTAGAGGACTAGGCTAACCCAGCTTAGACCAAAGGCTTCATCTCCAGGACACAAGCCCACCATGGAGCTGAAGTTCTTGGAATGAAGTGGCGTCTTGGGGCTTTAGGAAGCAGGTGCCTGTCGTTCTTACACAGCCAGACAGCAGGGCCAGCAGAGCCAAAGGCCAAGCTATTTGTGGCTCCAGCTTGTGGGAGTGTTTACAGTTGGCTGTTTGTGAAGTTGTGACAACGCTCCCTGGTGACATGTCCTGCCTATGTCAAACTAGGGATGTGGGCACAAAGTGATCAACTACATGTACTGGTCATGCCCGTCATGTTAGCTGCAGGACCACTGTGCTGCCCTGGCTGGGGGTATCTGGGTACCAGTGTCTAACAACAGCTCTGGATCTGGTCCATGGGTTGGCAGGATGCCTTGGACTGCCTGCCTCTGAGAACTGTCCTGAATGTGAGGCTTTAATAGTTATTTGCTCTCAAGGCAAAGGTCTGGTGTTCCACAACTGCAAAGCAGAAACAGTTGCTACCTACCTACCTACACACACACACCACACCCCCGTCACTTGACAAGCAGGTGGGTCTGGCAGTAGCAGAGATAGGACAGTATGGAGAAGAGGGGCACACAGCTGTGACCCTCTGCACCACAACCTGAGTTTATCTCCACCTTAAGAATCCTTTCACAGCAGGAAGATCCCATCCCTCCATCCCCAGGAAAGGCTCTGCAGGTTATCCCAGCTCCAATGTCCCTTTAGCCCTAGGTCCATACAGTTGCATCTGCTCTAACCCACACCTGCACGAGGGTCTCCACAGGCTGGTGAATCAAACACAGCTGAGCTTCCTGTTGTTTTGAGAGGGTCCCACAGTATAGCCCATGCTGGTCTGGAACTCAACAGTAATCCTGCCTCAGCCTAGCAAGTGACGTGTACCACCTGAGTTCTTTTACAAGAACTGGCTGTACCAGCATTAGGCACAGATTGTTCTGGTCTTACAACCACCTATAAAATGATTTCTTCACCCTGATAAGAGATCGGAGGTTGAGAGATCTAAGAATCTTCCCACGGAACTGAGGCTGCCCCACCCAAGGTCCAGCACCAAACCTCTACTCTATACACTGTCTTGATAAGGTAAGCCTCATTTTCTCTGTGAACCTGTCCACAGCCACTGAAAGAACTAAGCCAAGCCAGGCTCATGCAGCACAGCGTAGAGCAGTGGTTCTCAACCTGAGGGTTGAGTGGATCAGATAGCATGCATATCAGCTATTTACAGTTCATAACAGCAGTAAAACCGCCGTTATGAAAGTGATGAAATCATTTTACGGTTGGGTCACCACAACGTGAAGAACTGTATTAGAGATACAGCATTAGGAAAGTTGAGAACCACTGGCCTAGAACAAGACACATATGCCAGGGCAGCCCTCTCACAGCAGGGAGAGGCCATCAAGCTCCTGTGTTTACACTTACAGGAACAGAATGACAGTGAGCCATTAGATCATTAGCTGATTCCACAGAAAGCAGCTGGCCTATTCTGCCTGGCTCCTCCAGGCAGAGACTTGCCAAATGTGAATAACCCACAACAGTACCCTGGAAACTGGTGTGTGTGTGTGTGTATAGCCCAGACTGGCCTTTAACTTTGTTTTTCAAGACAGGGCTTCTCTGTGTAATAGCCCTGACTGTCCTGGAACTCTTTGTAGAACAGACTGGCCTTGAACTCACAGAGATCCACCTGCCTCTGCCTACCAAGTGCTGGGACTAAAGGCATGCACCACCACTGCTCAGCTTGGCCTCCAACTTTTAGCAATCTTTCTGCCTCTGCCTCCTGAGCACTGGGGTTACAGGTGGGAACCAAGCATGATATCGGAATTAAAAAATAAATAAAGAAAAGAAAAGAAGAAAAGCTAGGTGGTGACGGGCACACCTTTAATCCTAGCATGTGGGAGGCTGAGGCTTGTGGATCTCTTTGCATTCAAGGCCAGTCTGGTCTATATGAGAAGTTCTAGGTCATTTAAGAGCTACACAGTGAGACTGTCTCAAAAACAAAAAATTTAACATAGCAAGTTTAGGATGGCCAGTCGGTGGTGGCACACGCCTTTCATCCCTGCACTCAGGAGGCAGAGCTAGGCCGATCTCTGTGAGTTCAAGGCCAGCCTGGTCTACAGAGTGAGATCCAGGACAGCCAGGACTACACAGTGAAACCCTGTCTCGAGAGAAGGAAAAAAAACAAAGTTCAGGCCGGCTCCGTGGTAGAGTGTGCCCGTAGCAAGACAAAACATCACCAAGTCAATATTCAAGGTCTTTATTTAACTGTAACAGCAACCGTTGGTGGGAATTTTTCCCTAGTTCCAAACACCTGCTAGCTTGGCAGGACATAAGAAGACAAACTGGTCATGGACTCCCACAGGACTGTCTTAGGGTTGCATGGAACCTCCCACTAACCATGGCTGACAGTGAATGAAGGGAGGGGAGGGGACAGCACACCAGGGGGACAAAGTGAAGGACCAAGGAAAGAGTCCATTCCACATGGTTAAGACTGCAGCAGGGAACAGGGGCGGGTCTATCCGCAAGCACAGATTCTGAAAACGGACAACAGGGAATCGGAGTCCTTGGGGCTCTTCAAGTTGCCTTCTTTAAGGCTTACTGGAGCTGGCCCAGGTGCCATGACGTGGGGCAAAGGCTTGGCGTGAGCCAGTGTGGTCCCGCTGGCCCTTACCTCCTGCTGGTGTCCCCACTGTCCTACCCTCCAGTCAGAACCCCCAGGCCTGGGTTGGGCAGTTCTTAAGACTGAAATGGAAAGGAAGGGGGTATAGAGGCAAAAATGGGCATTCTGTGCTGGATTCATGGAATTCTCTAAGTTTGCAATGCCCTGGATTTGGGTCTGAAGCCCTGGCAGGAGCTCCTTTGGCAGTATCTGCACAGCCAAGTGTCTAGCAAGCATTCAGCCTCTGTCACCCTTCCACCGCCGAAAGGTAAACTGGAGTTTCTATCGGCTGGGAACTGTTTCAGCTCAGTAGACTCTTCTACTGGGCACACAGGATGGCCACTAGGGCTGCAGGAAGAACTGAGCAGAGACCACAGACCACCCCAAGACTTTGAGAGTTAAGCTCTGCCAATAGGCAGCAGCAGCTTCCAGGACCTGCCTAAGAGACAGCTACAGTTTCAGAGGGTGGGGAAGGGTCTTGATTGATCAACTGGAAAAACGAGGACCTGTCAGTCATCCTTACAGACTTCAGTCAAGTTTCCGTGAGCGAGCTTCAACAAAGTTCACCACTGACGTGGAGACCCATCCCCAAAGCCAGAAGCACGCCTGAGTGGTAAGCACAGGACCACCTCAACTACAGGAACCTGAATCCCGCCCCTAAAAGCTGAGAGGCAAGGAGACGGAGGTAACCGTGCCCTACTCAAAAGTTCAGACAGAACCCTCCACCCCAGGAAGAAATGATATGCCTCCACTACAAATCCCACCTTCCATGGTAAGGATGGGTCAGTGATTGGGTTTTCGCAGATTAATAAATAGCTGCCGTGGGCATGGAGTCCAGAAAACACACTAAAGAACTTGAACTACAGAAGACAGTGGTGCCTTTCCTCTAGAGGGACTGAAAAGGGTTACACCACACACACACCCACCTCAAGCAGCTAGCACCCAAGATGGAGATGGGAAGGAGGTTCCATCCCCGATATGTGGCTGCCAACACCTGAGCCTTGTACACTCGTGCCCCAACTCACAGTGGCAGTCTGTACAAGCAGGCCGGGTGGACTTTCAGTGGAAGCCAACTGAACTGCCAAGGTCTGAGAGGCCCAGGGAGACAGTAACACGAAGCTCCCATGCCCCACCCTCCTCAGATCAGAAGGAAACTCACCACCGGTACCTGAAGTACATACTGAAGCAAGCATGGCTACAGGAAAGAGACGCTAGAGAAGACAGAGCACCAGTTCAAACAAGAGCCTCCATCTAAGGACGGGAGAAAGGCTGGCGGGAACGAGTAGCCACTCCACGAGCCCCGAGGCTCGGGTGAGCTACCGCTTAAGCTTCCCCCACAGGTGAAAACAAGACTGCCTCTTTTCAAGAGCACACTTGTAGCCAAGTGCCCAGGAGGCGGCAGGTTACCCTGCATGCTGCACTGACAAGGCAATCAAGTTCATAGACACGCGCATTCTCAGGTGCTCCTGGCTTATGGAGAAGCTGCTCCGGGTAGGTGGGCGGGACACCTTGACCAATGCACGGACTCAGTCAGGGGGACCTGGCTTCGAAACCACCACTAGGAACCTGACCTACTTTCTGTTCTGCAGCTCTAGAGCCTAACATCTAGAGCCCTTTGCGTCCTCTGACAAGCCCTGCTCCAGTTAAGAAAGCCTGTGTGGCTGCACAGGAAGGCCCCCAGTCCCTTTTGTCAACTCTTGGCTAAAGGAAGACAGAAGTGGTACATGATGCTTAAAGAGGCCACCGCAGAACCTTGCAAAAGCAAGCATTCTTGAGAAGACAGGCAGACAGACAAGGATGCAACGGATCTGGGAATCTTCATTTCCTGCAGCCTCTCTTAAGACACATAGGCAGCTTTGGGGAAAGAGAAGTCTGTCTTTTACCCCAGTTTGGTCCTACCTTAGGGGCTGTTTGGAAGGCAATGTGCACCCAGCTTATGGCTGTGAGTATCCCCACCTTCCCGAGAACTGTTTTCCTCCTGTTAGGGTATGGTGGTTTAAAGGCACTGCGACTTTCTTCTTACCCACCTCTTCCTTCTCTGGGATCAGTCACTCAGGAGGAAGGCAGATGCTAGGGCAGGATGGCTACAGACCCATGTGGGGAGTGACCAAGGACGGCTCCCTGCTGACAACCACAAAAACAAAGTATGGAAGTGGGATTCTCCAGCTCCAGAGGAGAGCAGCCCCCAACCTAGTTCAGAGACAGTGAAACACTGAGCTGCAGGCGATCTGTTACACAGCAACAGACGACTCAGACAGGCAGGACAGACTCTTGCAGGTGATGTTACACAGCAATCGATAACTCAGACAGGCAGGACAGACTCTCGCCTAGAAGTCAGCTTTTCCACTCCAGTGCCCCGTAGAAGGCAAGGAAACGCCTATTTTAGCAGAACACAAGGGCTGGGAACTCGGAAGGAAGGGCACTGCCGGTGTGTCTCCTGCTATGGAGGTTCTTCCTCATGTAGGTTGATTGTCCCAAGTGCAGAAACACATCCTTCATAGAAACAGCACAGATGGTTACTATGATTTCAATAAGTCTCACTCACGTGGGAGGCTGGCAGATTAGGACTCTATGTCCTCCATTTGGGGCTCCAGCTGTGAGGCTTTTTGACCACCCAGAGGTGAAGCCCCACAGGGCCCTGCTTACTAGAAAATGGCTCATGAGGCACGGCACAAAGATGGCATCTGTTGGGAGCTTATTTCTTGTCTTGTGCAAGTCTCCTACAATGCTGATTTATGCTGATTTACGGGGGTCAAAGAACGAGCAATGGCGGCCTTCATACAAGGCCTGCACCAAGCAGTGAGGGGTCCCGGCAGAGGACATAAGGCTGAGAGGCTCCTGCACCACGCAGGTGACACTCCAAGGAATACGAGACATGTCTTCTGATTGAGGGGGATGACAAGAAAAGGGGAAGTGTCTTGATCCTACTCAATTCCCATGTCTCAACTCCCTCCCCAGGTGTGAGTCCAGGAAGGCACTCTGCTGCAGGAAGCGGATCTTCTTCTGAACACTCACACCTCCTCCCTTCAGCTGGAGTGAGTCCAGAGTGCCCTCACCAGTGTGCAAGGACCATGAGCCTTGCTCCCGAAGAATGAAGCTCCAGGGTCCTGAGCAAGCTGCTTATACAAGCCAATGGCAGCACAACTTAAGTTTTCCCAAGACTCCATAAAATGAAAGTTGGAGTTTAATTAAAAACACAACAGATACATTTAACAAAGAAATAAAACTCTTCTGATTATCAACTTGGAGACTCCAAGAATCCCCAAACATTGGAGACCCAGCTTATTCCTGAGACAGCGACCGTCACAGAGGGTTGCAGTCCGAGCTATTCACATTGTGTAGCAGAAACTAGAACCAAGTTCTGCAGATGTCCTTCCTTCCTTTTTCCTAAAGTCTTCACAAAACAGGGTCTTTCCATGGTTCAAAGGAAAAACACACAGCTTTCTTTCCCAGCCAACGGGGGATCTGAAATCTTACTAAGAGGGCTTAGACAGGCATTCAATACAACCAGAAACAACCAGGACACCAGTGGCCTGCTTCCCTGTCTTTCTTTAGGACGCATCAGCCTGTCTGGGGGCGGGGGTGGGGATGGGGAGCCTCTCTCCTGGGATCTCCACATGGGTCCACAGTACCAGGAGAGCAGGACGGGAGGAGCAAGAGAGCAAAAAGGTAAAAGAAAGGATGAAGTTTTCGTCAACAACTCATAGCAAGGCAGACTGGTCCAGTTTCACAAACCACCCACTCTACACTCCAACAGCCCCCCAAACTTGAGAGCACAGGGAAGCGCTCAGAAGGAACTATGAGAGACAAAGGACAGTGAAGACAGCAGACTTGCCTAGGAACATTTTTTTTTTAATAACCTTCCTAATACTGGAAGATGTTTTTGTTAAAAAAGTTGCAGTTCAAAATTGTACTGAAAACTTATCTAAAAATAGGTCTGTAGTCATCTTAAAAATAAAAGGTCCCTCCTCTGATAAGAGAAGAGACAGATATTCTCAGATACCAACATGGGAGGTATCTTTGACGCAGATTTGGAAAATGCCCGGTGGATGAACCAGAAGGAGAGTGAGGGAACAGGGAAGGAGAGAAGAGGAGGGGGAGAAGGAAGGATGGACTAGGATGAGGAGGGTATAGAAGTGGGGAGGAATGCATTTTTTTAGCCCATACTCCTCTCTTGGCAGCCAAGCACAAAGCAGACTCAAAGGAGGGGGGAACGTACAGGGGCGGGAAGGGTCAACTTTAAACTCAAAATATAATAAACTGCAGGACAGCAACGCTGCTAAGGTCTACCAGGTTTAAACCGTGACTGCTGAGGCTGGCCACAGTTGGGCATTCTCAGGCAGACCGCTATGACCGGCTGTCCCCAGCAGGCGGGGGCCAAAGCACTTCAAATGACTGCTTGGGAGCAGACAGAAGTCACGGGTGTCTCAGCGAGAAGACGACTCTGCCTGCACGGTGCAGATAGGAAGAATGGCAGACACAAAGACCAGCTGATCACCCAGGGGTCTCTCCAAGAAGAGGGCTTAAAAATACCCGTGCCAATGAATTAGGTAAAGGGCTGGGGAGATGAGCCATCACGCTCAGGACAGAAGCCTTCCTCCCAGAGGAAAGGGAGGCTGATGCCACATGCCCCCAAAATGCAGTCGGGGGGTGCAGGAGGTATAGAGCTGTGCTCCACTACTGAGGACAAACATCTCCCGGGACAGGACAAGCAGCTCATTTTGTCTGACCATCCCCCAACGGTTTAAAGATTTCACATCCAGCACTGAACCACCAATGGGAGACTGCACAGGAGCAATGGGCACCCAACCTCCTTCCCTCTCCAGACACCCCGAGCAGAGGTGCTTCGGAGAGAGTCCCTGGACGTGGGGCAATCTGAAGGGGGCAGGAAGACTCTTGGGAAATGACCAGGGAAGCTACAGGGATTGCTTTCCTCTATGGACCAACCGCTCAGCTCCAGACTAATCAAGGGCTTTCATCCTAACCTTAACTGGGCAGGGGCAGGGGAGATGTGGTCAGACTGAGCTGGTCTCCCATCATTTGGCACCCAGAGGGAGGGGACGGGGAAGTGCTGCTTCTCGGTTCACTGCGTTCCTACTGGCCCGGTCAGGTCACAGGGGCTGCTGCCCCCGCAGCCTCCTTCGACTCTGCTGCGCTCAGATGTCCATCTCAAACTGCGCCTCATCCCCTGGTTAGAAGGAAACAAATGAGAAGTTCAGTACAAAAAGAAATGGCAAAGCTGTTTTCAACGTCCTTCTCTACCTGCAAAGGGCAAAACTAATCCAAACTGTCCCACTCTCTGTGACCTCACAATACCTGCCTGAGTGTAATGCTAGCCCTCAAATTCAATCTTTCCATTTGAGGTGAGCCTGGCCTGCACAGCGGGACCCTGTCTTAGCAAACCCCATGTATTTTGTTCTGGCTGACTGAGCTCATCTGGGGGTGGGGGTGGACAGGAGAGTGGCACTCCAGGAAAGGTCCTGGTCACTCCAGTGGGCACTCTCCTGGAGGTTTGACCTGACCCCTGCAGTGGGGATGACAGCTCACCCCCAGAATCCAGGCACTCGGAAGCTGAGGCAGGGAGAGCGCTGCAAGTCTGAGGCCAATCTGGGCTTTATGGTGAATTCTTTTAGCCTTGGCTAAGAACGAGATCTTGTTTCCCCACCCCCCAAAAAAAGCCAACGAACAAACAAAACCCTCAGTTGGACCTGCAGAGAACATGAAGCCCAAAGCCTGAGGTGAGCGCAAGGCCACCTCACCTCTTCCTGCTCTGAAGGAGCCGGCAGCCTCCTAACAGTCGTTCTATTCAGAAAGCAGGTCTGGTGCTTTTCTGTTTTTTTGTTTTGTTTTTTTTTTTTTTTTTGAGACAGGAGTTCTCTGTGTAGCTTTGGCTGTCTTGGAGTTGCTCTGTAGACCAGGCTGGCCTTGAACTCAGAGATCCACCTGGGATTAAAGGTGTATGCCACCACCACCTGGTCGGGTTTATTTTCTGAGGTTGATGGAAACAGTGGCCTAAGATTCTGTTTTGGGGTGTATGTGTGCATGTGAACACTTGTTCATGCAAGGAGGTCTCAGGGGCAGCATGTCTGCAACTGTGTCTATATGAGGGTGATCCCTACCTATAGGAGGGTAATTGAAGACTCCTGCACCTATGTAGCCCTGGCTGGCCTCCAACTCACAGAGATCTGCCTGTCTCTGCCTCCCGAGTGCTGGGACTGAAGACATAAACCACTCCATCTGGCTCCCATCCTCTGATCTGTTTTTCCCCAAGCAACTAGGTGAAAACAGACAGCATTTTAGTAGCTGTCTAGGAGAGGAAACATCAGCCACATAACCGAACTCAGCTGTGCTTTGGAAGCCACACTTCCTAGTCTACAGTAAAGTGACAATCCACCCCAGAGCCGCTCCCAGCCCAGCCCCTCACCAACTGCATGCTTCCTGTCATGATTGTTCAGGTTGTTCAAGTTGTTCACTTCTACTTTGGAGTCTTCAATTAAGGTGCCAGGGCTGGTGACTCCAGGGATATTGGGCAGATGGCAAGGCGGGGTCTGTGCCATGGGAGAATTGCGACGATCCAACAGAAACTTTCGGTCATAAATGATTCGTGTTCCTAAAACACAGGGTTGAAGAGTTTCAGATAAATTAAGGCACCACCAATGCAATGACTACTGAGGCTGGCAACTTGTGTGGCTGTCCTCTAGAGGACACACAGGCAGACCGCTGTGACCGGCTGTACCCACCAGGTAGAGGCCAAAGCACTGGCACTTCAAATGACTGCTCTGGGAGCAGACAAAAGTCATGGGTGTCTCAGAGTGAAGAAGACTGCCGGCATGATGCAGACAAGAATGGCAGACTGGCAAACACCACCCGGAATCCCTTCAAATGCCACCTAATCCTTAAAGATGTCAATTCAGCCAAGAGGAGAGTCTACCCTCTCCCCGTGACCAGGGTGAGGTGCTCTGCCCCAGAAAACTCCTGTTGGTTCTTCAACACTCAGCTCCAATGTACTCCCTGTAGGAAGCCGCCCCTCCTCCCCTTCACCCACATCACTCAACACATCCCCTTGTACAGGACTCCTGCTTACACACAACGTGCCTGTCCACAGACTTCAAGCTCTGCATGCTAGCTGTGTCTTATTTGTTTACAACCGATATCCAAACATTCCAATTTTCAAAACTAATTTCTTCCCTGGCCCCCTTCTTTTCTTTCTCCTCCCCTTCAAGAAATTTAACCTGGGCTGGGGTTTTAGACCTCAATCTTGCTTCAGCCACTTACCTACTAAACCAACAACTCCCAAACAGTTTATTTTTATGTTACATGCATTGGTATTTTGCCTGAATATATGTCTGTGTGAGGGTGTTGGACCCCTGGAACTGGAGTTACAGACAGTTGTGAGCTGCCATGTGGGTGCTGGGAATTGAACCCGGGGCCTCTGAAGAGCAGCCAATGCTCTTAACCACTGATCCATCTCTCCAGCCCCTATCACAATAAATTTCTTAATGAAAGAATAAGCGAATATAAACAAGTATATGAAAAAGTAGATAACCACCGTCTATTGAAGACTACCCAAAGAAGCTTGGAGGCTGACCTCCTCCCTAGAGAGACAGAACACCGTATTTCTTCAAACATGGACCTAAGGATGCCTTAGTAGATAGAGGCACTTGCTCCAAGCTGACCAGGCTTGGTGGAAGGAGATGGGTGACTCCCAAAGTTGGCCTTTTTAAAAACAAGATTTATTCTTGTTAATTTACCTGAGTATTTGACCAGTATGTATGTGTGTGGACTGATGTACTGAGAGGCCAGGAAGCAGTTTCCCCTGCAACTGCAGTTACTGATGGATGAGCCACCATGTGGGTGCTGGGGGCAGACCCAGCTTCCAGTGCTCTTAAACACTGAGCCCATCTCTCCAGCCCCCCAAAATGTCCTTTGACCTCTGCACACACTGTGGCAAATAGAAGCCCATGACACACACATTAAACAAACAGAGAGACGCACACCCCCCACCCCCAACACTGCTTCCAGTCAGAGTCAGCTGAGGTTTTGTCAACTAGAGTATGCGTTACTTGGAAGAATCAGGAAAGCCTGTTGCTTACAAGCTCTCTTACAAGCACAGTGCTTCTAACCTGTGAACTTGAGACTCGGCAGGGGACTGCTAAGAGTTCCAGGCCAATCTGGACTGTAGCATGAGACTCTACCTCAATGTCCCCTGCTAAGGGAAAAAAGAAAAGAAATGCACACCTGAAGCTGGAGAGATGGCTCAGCGGTTAAGAGCATTGGCTGCTCTTCCAGAGGTCCTGAGTTCAATTCCCAGCAACCACATGGCGGCTCACAGCCATGTATAGTGGAATATGATGCCCTCTTCTGGCGTGCAGGCATACATGCAGAGCTCTCATAAACATAAAATAAATACATCTTTAAAAAAAAAAAAAAGGTACATAACATCACCAAATCTTCACAGAAACAGAAATCAAAACCACAAGAAGAGCCACCGTATACCTGGCGGAATGGCCATTATCAAAACCCCAAGAGGTAAGTGCTGACCAGGATAAGGAAAGGGCTATAGTGATGGTGCAGTGTATAGGGCACAGGCACTCTGCTAAATGGGATGGATGGATGGATTCCCAGAAATGAAAAACACCATTTCTATGGAGTCTACCAATCCCACCTGGGGTATAGCTCCAAGGAAATGAAACTGGCGACGCAAAGACAGAGTTACTCACAATGGCAAGTTCACTGTCTGTCAGAAGAGTGGGGGGAGGGGCAGAACGGCTCCGAGCATGAGGTCAACCTGGGCTATAGCAGTGAGACCTTGTTTCAAAAAGCCAATAAAACAAGCCAGGTGTAGTGGCTCATGCTTTTAATCCCAGCACTTGGGAGGCAAAACAATAAACAAATAAACAAAGCAAGCCAGCAGACTAAAAAGACAACAACAAAAACAGGACAGGGAGAGGTAAAATCCTTCATCCCCTGCTTCAAAAAGAAACTCGAGTCATAAGTGACAGACATCTGAATTATGAGCACTAGGGCATTCTAGATAGAAGACTTAGTATGACCATGAAGTTGAGAGCAGCTGACATGGGACCTATCTGTCACCCCTGCACCCAGCATGGTTACATGCCGAGTTTGATGCCAGCTAGGAATACATCAAACGCAGCAGTAAGAGCAACAGACCCTCAGGCCCAATTCAGGCACGCTGTGCAGCTGACATCGCCACCCCACTTCACAGTGCCACGGTTGGCCATGCTGCTCCAGGTTCCTCTCAGCTGTTCCCGGGATACAATACCACAGACGGGTGGACTGACAGGGAGGGCAGGCGGGAGAGAAGCGAGCTTGCAGCATCCCTTCTTATGAGGATGCTAATCTCACCACTGGAGCCCAACCCCTCATGGTCTCACCTGTACTAAAGCTCGCCTCCATTTAGTCTAATCATACGCGCACCAGAGCTTCTACACTGGACTGTGGTCATAACGTAGTCTTTCCTAGTCATCCCACCTTGATACTTCTAACCTGTTTGGAAATCCATGATCTGCTTATTACCATGCTATGTAGATTAGGGGCCAAAGGCTGAAAGGGGGCACAATGGCCTTTTGTAACAAAGGGGAAGAGCTTTAGTGGACTGACTCTACACATTTGTCTGACACCCCTGTTTTTGATAACATTTATGGGATAAGTAATGTTCTAATTCATATGTACATTATATAATTATATGTATATTATATACTTAGCACATCTACCTTAAACTTTTGTCATTTTCTTTTGTTTTTTGAAGTTATTTATGTGTATGAATGTTTTGTCTACCTGTATGTATGTGCACATGTGTGTGCTTATAAATGGTTGTGAGTCACCACGTGGGTGCTAGGTATCGAACTTGGGTCCTCTGCAAGAACAGCCAAGTGCTCTTAACTGCTGAGCCATCTCTCTAGCCCCATACTGTTGTTTTTAGACAGAGTCTCCCTATGCAGCCCTGCTGGCCTTGAACTTGGTATCCTCCTGCCTCAGTCTTCTAAATGCTGGGACTGTAGCACTCTATACCCAGCAGAAATGTTTTGTTTTGTTTTTTTCATGACAGTATCTATGTATGTACATGAAGAGGCATGTATGTATCACAGTGTGCACATGGTTGTCAGAGGACCACTTTCAGGAATCTGGTCTGTTCTCTCCTACCATGTGGGTCTCAGGGATTGAACTCAGGTCACCAGGTTTGGCAGAGAGCACCAAGATTTTGACAGTGCATTAAAGTGCTGTCTTTTAACTAGTTACACAATAATCTAATGTGCTGTTATAATTGAATTTATACATTACACGATAGTATCCTCTCTTTTCAGAGGTTTTGCTGTGTTTTCAAAGTGGTAGGCAGAGAATTAAAGATTTCTGAAGTTTCAAGTAACTTTCATTACAATGGCATAGTTTCAATTATTTTATCACCAGTTACTACTGATCTCTTGCTGTGCCTAACTTACAAATGAGGCTCATCACAGGGACAGAGAGAGGAAATGGGCAGCCAGGGCCTACTGCTACCTGTAGTCTCGAGCACCTGGAGGATGTTCGGAAACCCACCCCCATGGTCAGGGGAGATGCCAGTAATGTGCATAGCACATTTGTTAATCTCTTCATCAGCTGACGGACATGTGGCTGCTGCAATGCCTTGACTATTAGGAACAACACTATTTAAGATCTAGATATCCATGTAGGTTATAGTGTGGACAGCCATTCCCTGGAGCATGTCCCCATATGGAATGGCTATGTCACATGCTAACTGTCTGAGGAACTGCTGTTTTCCAATTCACATCAGACTTCACACTCCTGTCAGCAGTGTGAGGCTCCAATTTCACACAATGCAATTCACACTGCTACGTCCCTAACTGACATGAAGTGATTTCCCCCTGTACTGACTTACATTCTCTGATGGCTAATTATGCAGGCTTTGCTCTTCACAAGCTTACTGGCTTTTCCAATATACATCACCTTTGGAGAAAGGTGTCAGGATCTCTGACCTTTCACTGTGTTTTAATTATCCTCTCAACACACACACACACACACACACACACACACACACACACACACACACACACACACACACACAGCTGAGGACTGAACCCACAGACCTGCATATCTGAGGCAAGTGCTCTACCACTGAAATCTCCAGCATTATTTTTTACAGTCTGGAAATAGTCTGGATATACATAATTTGTAATTTTTTTCTGCGTATGTATTTTCTCCCTTGATGGTTTTCTCTCTTCTCCCCTCTCCCTCCCTCCCCCAGTCCTGAGGATTGAACCCAGGGGCATGCGTTAAGTGATGTCATTCTTCGAAGCATTAAAAGAAAACAATTTTTTTAAATCCCGGCTGGCCTAGAACTTGCAGCAACCCTCCCTCCCTCACACACACACACACACACACACACACACACACACACACACACACACACAGGAGTTCTAAATGTGCCGCCACTTCAGGCCATAGTGTTTCACTGTGATGAGATCCAATATGTTGGTTGTTACTGATTGTGTTTTTCATGCCAAACCTAAGAAATTACTTAATCCAAGGTTATGAGGTCTGTTACCTGTTCCTCTAGGAACTATAGCTGTGAATTGTAGGTCCAAATTCCTT